GAAGCTTTTGCCTCATACTTGCATTACCTAAAAACCCTATTCTAAAAATCAAATGAGAATCAAAGTATAGTTAATTAGAATTGATTAAATGGGATTTTTCCACACTACCTGTGCGTTTTTGCCCCTTAACCGAGGGCTTTTACCCCATACATACATTACCTAAACACCCTATTCTAAAAATCAAATGAGAATCAAGATTTCTAACCCTCTACACTTCACCATATTCTGTTTTACTCAATATTCTGAAATTATATGAACACTATTAGAATACAACAGAGAGCATGGCACTTGTCCACTTGTTGAAATAAATTAAAATTCTGAAACCAGATGATTCATCTACAAATTGATAAACAGGTATTTAGAGATTCTACGTGGTTAGAAATTTTTCTCTCTAAATGATGTTGTTATTAAATAATGACATTTCCATTCCTTTATCTAATCTAGATCTTCTAATATTACTAAGTAATAAACAACCAAGGAGTCACTTTTTCTGCCTTCCCTTCTTCTATTTATTTTGTTTAAAAGACACCAAAGGAAAAGCCACCTTGAAATTTACAATTTATCTGATGGAATCTGTAATAATGAATTTGCCAATATTGGAAATAGTAATTTGACCAGAAATGTTAGAAAATCTTGAAACACAGTAAATTTTGTGAAGCAATGTACTAGAGCAACCATGTCAGTAGCATTTTATACAGAAATAAGATATTCTAGAAAGTTCTTTTTACTATAAGCAATGAAATAATTTGATGAATAAAACTAAAAAATGATGATGATAGTGATGGTGACTTATGCTTATCATGGACTAAGCAAACTTCTAAGTTATTTACATGTATTTTAATTTATTGTATTCTCATAAGAAAATGACCCAGTGTACACTATTATAGTACTGATGAAACTGAGAGACATAAAAGTTAATAACTTCTCAAGATAATACCTATATTAAGTGGCAGACTTTTATAAAAAGTAATCAAATACAAAGATATATTAATATACAGATAAATACATTCTCCTGTGGCATTTTTAGATTGATATTTTTATTTAAGTAACTCTTACATATAGACAAATGGATAACTCATGTGTGCTGCTCTATGAATTATCAAAAAATAAATTCAGAGATAAAATAAATAGAACTAAAAATGTAACATTACCCCCATCTCATCTTTAGCACAGCCCTACCTCTCAGAAGAAATCTCTATTCTAACATGAATGCCATGTATTATTACATGATTTTGGACTTTCTTCAAATAAAATCTCATTAAAAACATAAATCAATTTGAGGATGCTTAATATTTTTCCAGTAATGAATATTCCAGTCACAAACATCAACTATTTTCTTTGTTATTTTTATCTATAGAAATACTTTCCATGATGTTTGTTCTTTCTGTATAGAGGTCTTGCATAAATTTATTTCTTGGTATTTTGTTTCTGTCAATTTAAATTATATAATTATGAAATTCACTTTCTAATTGTTATTTGAATATATGTAAATAAAGGAGTCATTTTTAGATGGACCTGATATCCAATAAGCCTGCTAAATCATATTTAATTTTAGTAGTTTACCTATAGAAAATTTTTTAAGTGTTTGCAATATTATTTGCAAATGGTGAGAGCCTTTATTCTTGTCCCCAGTCTTAACATATTTTATTTCTTATGTTGTCTAGTTGTTGCAGTAAGGAGCTCAAGAACAATGAAGAATAAAAGTGATGACAGTGAGCATTCTTATATATTCCTGATCTATAAGTGTTTCATCATCTGCTATGTTCCTACAGGCTTTTCTGTTTATTTTTGCTTTTGCTTTTTTTTTTTTAAGTACTCGTAATTAAATTAAATTTCTTTATACTCCTCGTGGGATAAGAGGAAGTTGATTGTTTTGGCAGTTTGGCACGTCAGTTTTTGTTTTATCAGAATTTTTTCTTTTCATTTTACCTTTTATTCTTTTCTAATGCTTTTTCTGAATTTACTGAAATGACTTTTCTCATCTTGGCACAGAATAAAAATATTCTCCTATGATATGTTAATGAGGTGAATTATGTTAATTGATATCCCAGTGTTAACTCAATCTTGTATTCATGAATTAAATCCAGTTTGGTGATGATAAATAATTTATTTTCTGCATCACTAAATTTGGTGTGCTAAATTTTTGTTTGGGATTTTTACACTGTGTTCAAGAGATACTATAGACTATCATTTTTCCTTTCTTGTAATGTTCTTGTAATGTTTATGTCATGGTAGTGTGGTTTTAAAACAAGTTGCTCATTCCTTTTCTATCACCTGAAAACTCATGGAAATACTAGTATTATTTCTTTCATAAATATTTAGATGTGTTAATTGCCTTGATTTAATCATTCCGCCTCATATACTGTATCAAACCATCACATTGTACTACCCATAAATGTATAAGTTTTATCAATTAATTATCATGGGTCAATCAAGAAAAATAAATTTAAAAGAGGGAAAAAAATAGAGAAATAGAGAGTAGGAAAGTGATTACCAGAGGCAGGGAAAGGGATGGGGGAGGGAGATAAGGAAATGTTGGTAGAGTGGTACAAAGTTACAAATTTAGTTGGAAACAATAAGTTCTGCTGCTGTAGGGTGACAATGGCTAATAATGTACACTAATACTGTAGTGTATATTTCAAGGTAGCCAGAAAAGAGGGTCGTGAATGTTATAACCACCAAGAAATGATAAATGTTTCAGTGATAGATATGCTAACTATTGTGATAAGATCATTATATAATGTATACATATATTGAAACAACAAACTGTACACTATAAACATGTACAATGAAAAAAATTAATTGAAATAAAGCAAAAACAAACAAAAAAGTTTGGTCAGTTAAAAACAAAGATAATTCAAAATAAATTAAAAACATTTAAAAAATTTGGAAGAATTCGCTGATAAAGCCATCTGGGCCTGTAGTTTATTTATGGGACAGTTTTAAATTATGAATTCAATTTATTTAGTACATTAATAATCTATTTTCTATTGATTATTAAATAATAGATCTAATAATCTATTATTATTAGAACAGAAATTTTATTCTTGCTTTCCAGGTTGTCCTTAAGGCTCAGGAATGAGAAAATTCCTATAGAGAATGCTCAGAGCTCTTTGTTTTCTTAGAACTATTTTTGAATCTTTAGCTACCATGGTAGCAGGAGCACAAAAACAGAAACAGTAGTATAATGAAGAAGCCGGCACATGCTCACATAAAATACTTCCTTAATTAAGTTATTGATGAAGATTATCAAATGGGTATTTCATTCTCATCAAGTTAAAACCAAAAATATTAAAACCTTCACATAAATTTTTAAAGTTTTACATTAACTCTCATTCCATGCCATTATGATTATTTACTATTTTTAAGTTAAATAGGGAAGGTATGAACACACAGGAAATATATTTTTTTAACCTTGTTAAACAGACATAATGTAAATAGCTGCTAATAAATATGCTAAGATGAGTAAACTGGCCAGCGTGAGCAGTTTTCTCTTATTCATGCTACTATTGTATACTCAGTTTTCAGTTTTAGACCTTAAATCAATCATAAATTTATAGTAATATTTCAGTCATTGTGACATGTATACAATGGTCAAACATTTCCATATTGCCATCTCTCACCAAAAGGTTACATTTTTGAAAAATTATTAAAGTCAGCACTCTGTTATTGTTGTTCTATCAGTAAACATATGTTGGATAATATAAAATTTATCTTAGATAGGATCACTGGAATTAAAAATTTTCCAGTGCTATTTCCTTGTTATAGCATACAAAATTAACCTGATAATGATTATTCAGCAGTGATCTTAAAATTATTTAAAATATCTTCTCCTTTGATTGTACAATGTTTAGTAGTATTTGTCAATTCCTAGCATTTAATAATTAAAAGCTATTTTGCTAGTAGCAAAACTCAATGTTTCAAATCAATGTTAATAATTTAGGTGGAGTCAAGGACTAAATATATATTCATTTAATAACAAAAAAAATCAAATGGATAATGATTATTCAGCAGTGATCTTAAAATTATTTAAAATATCTTCTCCTTTGATTGTACAGTGTTTAGTAGTATTTGTCAATTCCTAGCATTTAATAATTAAAAGCTATTTTGCTAGTAGCAAAACTCAGTGTTTCAAATCAATGTTAATAATTTAGGTGGAGTCAAGGACTAAATATATATTCATTTAATAACAAAAAAAATCAAATATAATCTTGCTCTTTAAATTACATTTAATTTTTTCTTAAAACACATGGAAAAATAAACAGCCAGGTACTACATATAACACCCATTGTATTATTAATGTCGACACTAAATGACATCACTATAGATGACATAAAATGTTGCCTAGCTGTTTTCTGCTATTAATAGGAATCAGGCTTTCAGGGAGTTCAGAGATAACAGAAATGTAAGTATGACTCCCTGTTTGAATATTTGATAACACTACTAATAATCTAAAGAAATATTGTAAACGTTATATTGTATAACATTTTGCTTTTACTAGAAATATTTTTAAATAGCTAGAAATGTTGTAAGAATACATGATATATTTCCATGTTGATAACAGGTGATATATTTATAAACAATAAATTGATTAGTGGAAGATTAACAGTTTAGTAGAAATAGTTTAGCTTAGACACACAGATAACAATTCAATGCATTACCCTCAATCTATTCAATATATATATCTAGAATAAGATTACTAATTTTTAATTCATATTTGTTGAGATTTCAACTCAGTTTGGGTAATATCAACCTAATAGTTCATTTACTTACTTCTATTCGTATTTTCACTGCTTTCTTTTCTAGTGGGCCTGACTGAGCCTGGCTTGGATCTCTGCCATTTTACTCCTTGTGCAACTCAACACCATGACCAATTCTATATGAACAAATTCTCTATAAATTTAGAGCTTTTCTGTCACAAATACCACTAGTGCCCCATTGGTTAAACCCAGCACACCTGGAGCATGTATGTATTTTACTCATTAAAAGACTAAGAAACAATGGTTATCTCTAAATCAAAGTGGTTAGATAAAGGAAGGATATCGCACATGTTTTGCTCTTTTTTCTCCTGTATCCAAGATCAAAATAAGCTCAAACATGAATCACATGAGGTGAAAAAAAATATTTGTAGAGATAATAAGGTACCCAGAGATGAGAACAAGGCGCTAAGAAAAGAAAACAAGTCCTTGTGGGGAGAAAACAAAGCTCTTCAACGAGAAAATAAAGCCTTCCGAATGGACAACCAGTTAATCCGGGAAAGAAATCAGTTACTAAGACAGCAAAACCAGGTCCTCTGGAAGTTTAAAAGTGTGATTTCAGAGAACCAAGAATCGTCTATAGAAGAAAGCAGTGCCCTGAATACAGAAAGAAAGCCTTATTGGCAAGAGGGTGGAGCCCTGGATGCTCAGATCAAGGCTCTCAGGGAGCAGGAGAAAGCTTTCCAGAATGAGGCAAAAGCACTTCAAAAGGGAATCAGATCCCTTTATGAGCAGGTCAAGGCTCTACAACATCAGAAGAGAGCAATCGAAATGGAGGAACAGGCCCTGAGGAAGCAGGGAATAGTGCTAGAGATGGAAGAACAGGCTCTGTGGAAGGAGGAACAGGCCCTTCGTGAGGAGAACAAGGCTCTTAGAGAAGAAAACAGTGCTCTGCAAGAAGAGGAAAAAGCCCTGGGGGAAGAGGCAAAAATCCTCGAGGAGTGGAATAAGGTTCTTCAGAAAAAGACAGCAAACACACTTGCTGGGAACATGTACAATGATGAAAAGGAGTAGGACAAGTGTGACTTGAAGACGTAAAGATCATCAACGTTCCAGAAAAAAAAAAAAAAAAAAAAAATTGAAGGTAAAATACTGCTGTGGGGTTGGAGTCAAAATCCTGGAAATTTGCAAAGCTCAGTATTTGGTCCTGGATACTAAATAAAATCCTGAAAAGTAAGAAAGCAAATGATTCTTCAAGTTTACTTAAATTTTAGACTACTATTGGTGGCAAATATTATTTTGGAATGCAAAAGACATATCAACCAAAACATGTGACATTGAATGTACAAGTTGGGCTTGCCCTTTACTTTCAGAGATATTGGATTAATATCAGAGATACCCGTTGTAAGAAATTAAGAGCACAGAGAAAATAGTTTTCTCATATTTGCTCTTAGAATTATAAACAGTATAGTGAAAGACTTGCATATTTGGAGTAGATGTAGTTATCAGTGACTCCTCTCAGTAAGAAAGTTGTCATTATTGCATCATAGTTAAAGCAGCAGCAATTCAGGTTAAAGTTAAAGGACATGCTCAGAATTTCAATCTCTCCTCTTTGAATTCAAATGTTAAGCTTAGAATCAGCACTATTACAAAGAAATTTTGATTTTTATAACACATATAAGTAAAATATAATTAAGGAATAGGTTAAAACAACTTATGTATATAATTCTTTATGATGTATATGTTATTTTACCTTCACATAGTAATCAAAATTTACTTCTTAAATTTCCAGTGACCATCATATTTTTGCAATACTACATAGAAATCCCATATAAGTTGGATATATTTCAGTCTATATTATAGAGTTTTCATATGTATTGTTAAATAGATATCAATGTTATTAAAGTAATGCATTAAAAACAATTTTTGAATGAAAAAATGGGGGTATTTTTGTTTTCTGTTGCTGTTGTTTATTCCTAGAGCTTTATTAAAGTGACTCTATCAATAGTTTAGAGAGCTAGGTTTCTAGATACACAAAATGGTGAAATAAAAAGAATCTGTCCGTGGTAGCTGTTCACTCCCTCCTCCCCAAATCAATTAATCCTATTTAGCACATATTTTGATTTTCTTTATATAAAACACATTCACCAGCAATCTAGAGTATATGAAACTGAGCAAGATACTATTTCTCTAGAAGAGTTTGAATCATAGCTAAGACAACAGTATAAATAACCATAACACAAGGCATAAGAAACATAAATAAGTAAAAAATACATATAATACATATAATGGAGGTTATAAATATTTTCATAACCAATTGAGAAAGAGGAAAGGCTTCTTTGTAATCTGATCCTTAGTAAATGAAGAAGGAAAAGATAAGAAAAATAAAATACCAGGCAAAGTCGGGAGAATGTCATTGAGTGTGTTATAGGGTTAACTGATATTAGGAGAACTAATTTCCATAAACAAATAAATAGAAATTAAAAGTCATGCAAATAGTGAGATAGCCTTATGTAATTTAAAGCAATGTTACTGAAGAGAAATATGTTCTCTGAACTTCTCCATTATTGTTTCTTTGATTTTAATGTCAATTTGTTTATTGAAATACTACTACTGATTGTTGCTCTTCTATATGTCAGCTGCTGGCTGCTTCTGGATATTCAATGGGAATCAAAGGAGAAAAATTCCTTTCCCTCATGGTTTCCAGAAATGCCAAATTGGGACTGTCGTTCCTTCAGGCCAGCAATCATTAACTTCAGGAGAGAATAGATACATGGATACTACAAGTACCTTCTTGGAGATGTTAGTTTGTTTATCTTCATTGAAGAGACCATTAGTTCTAAACCCATTTAATAAGCTCCATTTNTAGTTTGTTTATCTTCATTGAAGAGACCATTAGTTCTAAACCCATTTAATAAGCTCCATTTATTTAAAGCCAAAAGTTCCAGGCTCCCAGATCTATCCTTCTTCACCTTTATTTGTAATTTTATTCTGCTCCATATAACCTCAAATTTGCCCTAACTTCACATCATTTCCTACCCTATTGAAACATTTTATCAAAACTTCTATATCCGTAATCTCTTTTCTGAAAGTTCTTTTTTCCCTTCTTAATTGGATATACCTCAATGATATTGCCCTCTTAGTATGCCTCTTTAGTGAAGACTTTTAAACACCAGGAAAGACGGAGCTAATGTAGGTTTTCCTTTATCACTACATTTTAGAAAGCTTTATTTATTTTTCTCCTATGAAAGATTCGCTTTCAATAAAGCATGTGATATTAGACTGTACCACTTTCTATCTTGTATGTTCTTTCATATTCCGACTTCTTATTCATAATCATTCAGACAATAAAACCTTTGGACAACAATGTACTTTTCCTTGCCTATACTAGAGCAGCTGAACACGTCCAGGGGTATTGCTATCATTAACACAGAGAGCACTATATGCCAGAACTATCTAAACATTTACATATATTAATTCATTTTATCTTTACAAAAAACCTAAGTACTGCCAGTATCCCCATTTTACAGATGAGGGAGCTGAAGCACAAGAAAATTTTACTTTCCCAAAATCACAGATGTAGTTTATTTCAGAGAAGGGATCTGAACTTTTGTGGTCTGACTCCAATTCTGTCCTCTCTGCCTGTACAATTTTCCGCCTCTACACAAAATACTGAGTAGTAACATAATACAATCACCTGAAATGCAAATGGAGACTCAACACTGCCCAGCAATCTTTTATTTTTCCTGTTTTTCAGTGTAACTAGATTTTAACTTCTCCATTCCCCACTATCTCTGGTAGCCCTTTCATCTCCCACTAAGAGATGATATACCTCCTTCATTGATCCCTGTGAGGAAAATAGAGTAGTTTAGTCAGGCCCACACACTGCAGGTTGAGCTGTGTGTGGTGCAGCACATCCTTTGTAAGCAAGTTGCGTGAGAGTAGAATTAGTACGAATGCACGCCCATGTATCTCTTGGCTTTGTGTGTTCTTTAGT